CGGAGTAGCTGGGATTACAGGCACCTGCCGCAATGCCTGCTACTTTTTCTATTTTTTAGTAGAGACTGGGGTCTTGCTCTTGCTCAGGCTGCTGTTGAACTCCTGAGCTCAAGTGACTCACCCACCTCAGCCTCTCAGAGTGCTAGGATTACGGGGTGAGCCACCACCAATCCTGGCCTCGCAGCCAGACAAACCTTTTAAAAATATCAATCCAATCACGTTACTTGCCTGTTTAAAAAGTGCCAATGGCTTATTTCCCATTGCATTTTGCAACATATCTGTATCCATATCAGGGTTTAAATGGCCACTTCTATCCCTGCCAACATCTCCAGTTGCCGACTGTCTCACTAAACCCTAGCTAGACTGGCTTCTTCTTTGTTTTTTCTCTTCTTTTCCTTTCTCCTTTCAGTGGCAGGGTCTCATTCTGTCACCCCAGTTGGAGAGCAGTGGCCTGATCATAGCTTACTGCAGCATTGAACTATGCTCAAGCAATCCTTCTGCCTCAGCCTCCAGAGTTGCTGGGATTAACAGGTGCATGCTACCACATTTAGCTAATTTTAAAAATATATTTGTAGAGAGGCCGGCTGTGGTGGCTCACACCTGTACACCTAGCACTCTGAGAGGCTGAGGCAGGAGGATGGCTTGAATCCATGAGTTGGAGGTTGTGGTGAGTTAGGCTGATGCCAACGACACTCTAGCCTGTAGCAACAGAGTGAGATTCTGTTAAAAAAAAAACCCCAAACCAAAAAACCCACCCCCACATTTTGAAGTGAAATTCACATCACATAAAATTAACCATTTTAAAGTGAACAATTAAATGGCAGTTAGTGCATTCACAATGTTGTACAACCATCACCTCTATCTAGCTCCAAAACACTTTCATTACCCATTAAACAATTTCCTTACATTCTCCTCCATGTACAGTTTTTGATGCTCCCAAGGGCCCAATTGTACAATTGAAGAAAATGAGGTTCTGAGCAGTTCAGTGATAGGTCCAATGTAGAACCTTTGTTTTCTGATTCTATTCAAGTCTTTGGCGGAACACACTTGGACAGACTTGGTATGCAAAGAAGAGTAAATTTTGTCGGGGCAGGAAAATAGAAACAGTTAAGTGCGTCTTCAATTGTAAAAAGCATGCATTGAGGTAAAACTGCAATTAGTACCTTACAGGCAGAGCCAAAAGTAATTTAGACTCAAGAGCAGATGCAGGGCAGGACTTGGAAAGGTCAGCACTGCAGGAAGCTTTGCCAAAGCCTCAAGAACAGGAAGTCTGTCATTCCTTGGGCAGCCCTTGTACCCAAGTGGGAGGCAAAGAGTGGCAGAGGGGCGGGAAAGGCGTGGCTTCCCTTCCCCTCCGGGCCAGGTCGGGCCAGGAAAACCCAGGTGATTGTTTGCCAAATTTGGGGAACAACCGGAGAAAACCATAGTAAGCAGGCTTAGGCCAACTGCATTCCACTAAGGGGGCCTCTAGGCCACGGGGGCTCCTGAATATCTGTCTTATGCCTCCTGGTCATCTCTCTAGTATCTACCCCTCTTCGACAAAATAGGTGTGCTTTCTTGGGGCTCCTCTTTTCTCTCGAGGTTAATGACCCTAGAACCCTCTTTTTTAGAGGGCAGAGAGGGCACCCTTCTAAGTTGCCCCTCATAGTATCCTCTTCTTCCTTGAATGGGAGGGCTAGCCCGGCTCTGACGATGGAGGGCTTCTTTCACTTACTCCCCACCTTCTCCGGGCTTTGGGCGGTGGCCTAGATCTAGTTCAACAAGGCACCGCCCTGGGTCTAACGCGCCCCTGATGCTCCCGAAGGGCAGCTCCATGGAAACCAAAACATCACAACTCAACAGAGGTATCGCGAGAAGCGCGATTGCGCCCGCGACGGGGTAGAGGAGGAGCGAGGGCTGGAACGCAGAAAAACGTGGGAGGAGCCTGGGCGCTTCCGAGGTCCCAGTCGGAAGACGGTCCCTCCAGGCAGCACCCCCGCGTGACTGCGTTTTACATAATCGCGGCCTCGCGCGTCATAGTGGCGTCCTCCAGTTTACACCGAATCCGAATCGCTGAGAACTCCGTGTTCCGCCTCTTCCTATTTGATCGATGTCGAATTGAGCCAGTGAACAGGCGTCCAGCACCGCTGTGCCCGCCCCTACCCGCCTGGGTCCGCCCCAGCCCGGCAGCGCCCGCCCTCCCGCCTGCCGCAGCCCGCAGCCTGCCGCCGCCAGGTTGTGCCTCAGACTGTCAGAAAAAGCCGCGCGCCGGCCGGCGGGGTGGTGAGCACGGCCCGGGCCGGACATGGCGGCGCTCTACGCCTGCACCAAGTGCCACCAGCGCTTCCCCTTCGAGGCGCTGTCTCAGGGGCAGCAGCTGTGCAAGGTGCGCGGGCTGGGGCGGCGGCCGGGAACTGGGAACGCAGGAGGCGCGGCCCGGAGCTCTCGGTTCTGCGGGGACGCCGGCTGGGTCCACAGGCAGGGCGTGGCAGGCCCGCCTAGCTAAGGAGCCGCACCCACCCCGCTGGGGGCCGGCGGGGCACGTGGGAGAGTCCAGTGCCGCGTCCAGGCCCCAGCGGCCGGCGTGTTCGGGTGCTTAGCAACCGCGGGGGATTGTTCTCGGACCCCACGAGGTCGGGGGAGGGGACAACGGGTCTCCTGCTTGCCCCAGACCATCCGCCCCGGGGATCCCTTTTCTGCTGTCTTCCCTGCTGCAGCAGTCTCCCTGGTTACAGACTGTGATTACCGACCTTCTGCCCCGCCTGGAAATGAACTCCAGAGTTGGGTGCTCCTTGGGAGCAGTACCTCGAACTCCGGCGCCTCACGGGCACTTTTCAGCCAGTCTCAGAATCGGAGATGGCAAGGTTTTATTTTTTAAAAACCCCCACAATCAGGCGCACGAATCAGAAGGATGTCGTTTCAGCATCCAATTGCTGGCCTTCGATCCTCAACCTTAACCAGCTGCTAATCCGTTTTTTTGCCCATGAAGGTCCAACTCTTGTTTTGGTTTTAAGTTGCTTCATTCCACTTTGCCTATTTAAGTGAAAAGAGGTGCTATGAAGGGACAGTTAACAAGTCACTAAGCTGGTTGAAGAGTGATGTGCCCAGATAATCCAGAGTTTGTGTCTCTGATTTGAATAACTCAGAATTGTCATGTCCCTGTTGCCTCAGATAGCCATGACTTTCCTTTTGCCACTATTTACCAGGTCTGAGAGTACACAAGTGCTGAGTGCCCGTTTGGTCTCAAAAAAACTTAAAACGAACCATAAATATGTAGAGTGTGTATGATTTTAAAGAGTTTTGTATACATAATGATTTCAAATCAACTCTTTGATTTCATGAGTAAGCCTGCTCAAAATCACACAGTGGTGGAAAAACCAGGCCTAGAATTCAGAGCGTCTGATTCCCGGTCTGGGGTTTATTCATGCATATGTTTATTTTACAATTTATGACTACTTCCATGTAAATTCTTATTTAACTCCCACACCAACAGTATACAGGGCAGTATTACAGAGGAAAATAAGGCTTAGAAAGTTTAAGTGACTCAAGCATAGTAGCTATGCTAGGAATAGTACCCAGGTCTTCTGCCTCCTACTGAAGGCTGTTTCCATTTGTGACTGCCTTTTAAAATTATATCCTCATTTCATTTCAGGAATGTCGGATTGCACACCCTGTTGTGAAGTGCACCTACTGCAGGACTGAGTACCAGCAGGAGAGGTAGAGTTTCCTTGAGCATGAAAGATGTTAATAGGCTTATTCCTCTTAAAGTCTGTAATTGATTGCATTTCATGTACACATTTGTAATCAGTTACACTAGACACAGATTCTGCAACTTCTGAATATTTAGGTCTGTAGTCCATCTTGAGTTAATTTGTTTGTGGAGTGAGATAAAGTTATTCAGACCCTTGATCATTTTATATTGTGGTTATAATCTTTTTGACACAAGAAAACAATCCCACCATATGAAATCACGTGTCATCTGGGGAAAAAGAAACCCATCTCACAACAGTCAAATATGAACCTCATGTTCCAATATGTAAATATACAGACTTTAAAGAAATTATAAGCCCAAGTAGAACTGTAATAATCCTGGTAAAGGGTTTGTTAGCCCTAATCACATTTGAAACTCACTTGCCTTTACACTTTCCTGTGTGACTCTTGTTTTTTAAAGTGTGAACAACACTTAGGTGTGAGTGGCCACACATCTCTGGGAGACTTTTCCGTAACAGTTAAATGATTTATTGGCATAGCAAGTTTGACTTCTGTGGAACTTTTGTAATTTTAGGTGATCCTGCCTTGAGCAGGCTGGAGTCTCGTTGCTAGTTTATACATAGACCTGGAAACCTAATTTTAATTAGCCACATTTCAAGTCTACAGATACTTTCTCCAATATTTTATTTTTCAAACAAAAAGAAGGATTAAAAGAATTGGTGAACCTCTGCATACCCACCACTTAAATTCTATAATCTACTTTTTAGTTTATTTGCATCTATCCATCTGTTCATCTTAATCCATCAATCCATTTTATTTCTGATCCCTTTTAAAGTTGTAGACACAAGTATACTTCATACCTTAACACTTTAGCATACATATCATTAACTAGAGTAAATGTTTGTTTGCAGATTTTGTGTGTGTGTGTGGAAACAGAGTTTCTTTCTGTCACCCTGGCTAGAGTGCATCAGCTCACTGCAGCCTAGAACTTCCGGGCTCAAGCTGTCTTCCTGCCTCAGCCTCCTGAATAGATGGGACTAGGACTTCAGGAATGTGCCACCATACCCAGCTAGTTTTATTTTTGGTAGAGATGGGGTCTCACTCAGGCTGGTCTCGACCTCCTGAGCTCAAGTAGTCCTTCTGTCTCAGCCTCCCAGAGGGCCAGGATTATAGGGTGTGAGCCAGCATACCAGGCAATATTTGCACATAGTAAATAGTAAAATGTTCAAATCTTAAGTACATTATTCAGTGAATACTACCAGTATACATCTTTGTAACTCCAAATCCTATCAAAATATAAGAATTTTTTTTTTTTAAATATAAGATGTTTTTATCACTCCAGGAGAATCTTCTCCTGGTCCATCCCAGCCAATCCCCACATTCTTGTTTCCCCTGGGCAACCACTGTTGTAATTTTCATTTCTACCATAGATTAGTTTTGACTGTTCTGGAACTTCGTATAAATGGAATCATACAGAATGTACCCCAGAAGTTTTATGTTTTAGTTTGTATATTTAGGTCTATGATCGATCTTGAGTTAACTTGTGTATATGGTGAGATATGAATTTTAACTGTTAATTTACAGCACACACAAATTATTTCAAGATGGATCATGGATATAATTTTTCTCTGCATGCTTTCTACAATACCAAGAACATTTGTACAGATTGGCATATAGCCTCTTCCTTCAGTAATAAATCTAGGTGCAAATCAAAATACTATTCAGTATCACAGAATCTTTGATGGTAATATTCCTAGAGATCTCTTTCAATGCCCTACACTTCTTTTACTGCTTTTTATTTTTTATTTTATTTATTTATTTTTTGAGACAGAGTCTCACTATGTGGCCCTTGGTAGAGTGCTATGGCATCATAGCTCACAGCAACCTCCAACTCTTGGGTTTAAGTGATTCTCTTGCTTCAGCCTCCCAAGTAGCTGGGACTACAGGCACCCGCCACAACACCTAGCTATTTTGTTGTTGTTGTTGCAGTTGTTATTGTTGTTAAGCTGGCCTGGGCTGGGTTCGAACCCGCCAGCCTCGGTGTATGTGGCCAGTGCCATAACCACTGTGCTATGGGTGCTGAGCCCTATTACTGCTTTTATTTTTTTCTTTTGGGAAGTGAGTTGTTACATACTCCTTAGTGGATTCTGTCTTACATAGCCACCACCATCCTGTGTACTGCCTTATTTAAAGTGGCAACAAAGTGTCTTAGAAAATATTTTGTCTGAATATTTTATTGTATTAAAAGATTTTTATTTTTAGCAGACATTACCTGATAAGATATTTATTTATTTTTGTTATTTTCTCTGTACCCCAGCTATAGTGCAGTATCAAAACTCTTCGACTTAAGCAATCTTCCTGCCTCAGCCTCCTGCGTAGTTGAGACAACAAATGTGCACTACCATGCTTGGTTTTCACTCTTCTTTTTAATCAAAGCTTCATTTCCTTTGAGATAATTAACTTTATAACCACATAATGATTAGGAGTTATTGGCCAGATGACTTTTCAGTTAACCAGGTGTTTGGACCATATTTTACCTAATCCCTTAGTAATGAACAAATGCTTTGGGCTTAAGGAAGAATCATTTTTTTAGATGTTCTAAGAAAAGCTTTTCATCTTTTTCTTCCTTAACAGTAAAACCAATACAATATGCAAGAAATGTGCTCAGAATGTGCAGTTGTATGGTACGGTAAGTAGGAATTCTCTGAACCTACCAGTGAGCACTTGGGTCTCTCGGAACCTTACTTTCTGTGGACTATTAATGTCATTATAATATTTTTATTAGAACAAATAGTTATTTATAATATATCTGGTAATGTACTTAAGCTTTCAAATTAGGTAATACTTATTGTTAAGAAGTTCTTTGTTTATAGTAAGTGTGGGGATTATGATTATAGAGAGGCTTTAGTGACCAGCATTGAAGGGGAAAGACGAATTAGATGAATTCTGTAACTTGACCTCTTTGGTAACAGTTGATAATTCATTTTGATGTATTAGTTTTTTTTTT